CTGCTGCCTCTCATGCTACCCACCGCTCTCATCCAGCCATGCCCGCGTTCCCCGAGACGTCTCTTATATGAAAACAGTTTGCGAAATTTAATTTTCAGCACACTTGATTTTTGAAATGGCATCAGGGAGACAGGCAGACGAAGGAGTGGGGAGATGTTGGGGTGGAGCAGAGACTCCATGGAGCAATGAAATTTGCTGTTAATTTGTACAGAAAATGTCTCTATTACATTTTAAATTGGTTTTACCCTTCTCTCTGTGTCGGTCTCTCTGTCTTTTTATTGCTGATACATTTTATGAATTGGCTACACATTGAGTGAAAATAAAAGGATTTTAAAAAGGAGTACAAGCGGAAGAGAAGGAGAGGGAAGTTCTTGCACTCTCAATGCATTCAATGCCAAACATGTGGACAGAGGTATACCAGGGAAATAACAGTAAACACGAATAAAGGGCAGTGAAGAGAGGGGAAGTAAAACCAGTAAAAAGAGAGCAAACGGCTGTGGTAGTGAAAGAGTGGAACTCCCCGAAAACGGAGCAAGAGAGCGGCAATCGAGGCAATAAATAATTTTGATATTTACAATATGCCATGGGTCAGAAGAACGATTTGTTCATGTATGGGAATATCCCTTGAAAGTTTTTCCATTTAAATGGTTTAAAAAGCTTCGCTTGTTGAATCCTTAATAGCCATAGATACAGCTGCACTACATACATGCACTTGAAGATACAAACATAAATAAATACATTTATATGTAGAGTTATTGCAATGGCATTCCCTTTTTGTTGGTTGTTTGCAACAACTGGTTGTGGAACGATTTATTGGTCGCGCCATTCATGTCATGTATTTTCCTTCTTAAATGTTTACTTACTCTTCCGGAAACGGATTCGGATTGCAGGCAGGACAGCCGGCAGCTGGCAGGCAGCAGCAGCCGCCGCACCACCGCACACCGGAAGCTGTGTCTGTTTTTTATTTCATTTTCGTTTATGATGCTGCATTTTGTGGCTTGCCAGAGGGCAAGGAGGGCATGGAGCATTCATCCGCTTATCCATTGGATGTTTATTCCTGGCAATTACATCACATATACGATTGCTTTGGTCAAAGCACCAGTGGGAACCATACTCAAATAGAGAACACAACGTCGAGAACCGTGTTGCGCATCGTAAATGAATGGAGAGGGATTACAGTGGAGAGAGGAAGAAATGAACAGGCACTAATCTCTAGCCAAGCGACTCATTGGGGGGCTGTTTTGCTTCTTGGATGGCATGCAATTAACATTTTATTCCCTGCCTTTCTTTGTTGCTGCACAATTTGGGGAGCATCTTTAAGGCCTGTAATCGTATGTTGACCTTTAACTGGTTTTGGATGGGTATTTTTTTATTAGAAGCCAGAAGGGAGAATATGTTAGTACATTTGGATAAAGTCAGGAATCAACTGTATTTAAGAGCTGTTGCGCCTGAAAGATTTTTTGTTTTAAAGACTATTACAAATATTTTGTAAAATATTCTTTTTCCTTACAGATTCTTCTCTGGAATTGGAAATTCTTCAATTTTGAAAAGGTACTGTGACATTTTTTCTTTCTTCTTTTAACAATATTTTTATCAGCTAAAATATATATTATTTGAAAATTTTCTCATGAATATAAATATCACGAATTTGGAATCCTTTTATCATGGTTTCCTTGGCTGCAAAATATACTCCATTAATTTTTCTTACTTTTTCAGAGATACTAAGATATTATTATTTCATTTTAATATACTTTTACCATCCTAATAGTTCCAAATTTCACAGATTTCAGTTTCAGGGTCCCTAAAATATATTTTCTTTGAATTTGTATCCATTTATAGGACATTTTTATTTCAATTATACAAACTTATTTTGTGTGTTCTTATAAATTTTAATGCCTTCTATGTCATGGGGAAATTTCATTGGGATTGTTACAAATTTGATTTTTTTTCTTGATAATTACATTTATTTGTTGGACCAACAAATGAGCTTTGCCTACCAGTTTTCCTGAGAGTTTTCCCCTCCTACGAATGGCAATATTTTTTGGGAAAGTAATTAGGCAAAAAACTTGGCCAACTTTCTACTGTCTTTGTATTTTCATTTGTTTTTATGCCATCATCTCACGTTTGACGAGCCTTGACATGGGAAAATAAGCCAAAACAGTAGAAAGCCAAAGCGTAGGACAGGAAATTGCAGAAAAGGCACAAAGAAAAATAAAAATCATTGTAAGCAAAAACGTGGCTCGAATCTTAGATACCTGTTACTTTTTGCCTGGGAGATAGATTTAAAAAATGATATAATGAAATAAACTACAAATACAAGAAAAATATGATAATAATGGTGATAAGTTTTCACCATGTATATTGCTGATAATATTAAACCGACGGGAAGTCGTTTCTGCCTGGAAATAAGAAGAATTCAATCTACCCCATGTCCTGCATGAATACAGGGTGTAACCAGAGCCCTTGTCAATTTTCTACGTGCAACCCATAAACTTGATGTGTAATTTCTGCGTGTTTTTTGTTTTTATTTGTTTCGAACATAGAGAACTTTTTCCAAATTCTATTACAAGTTTTACAATTGTATTACGAGGGAGACTCTGTCTGCCTCTCACTTTCTACTAAATAAACCATAACTAATAGGGAGACGACTAGGGAAAACTCTTAAAAAATATACTTTTTGAAAGAAAATACGGGTAGAAAAATATGTAGCCAAAAACTTTGAGCATTTAAAGCCGCTTAGCAGCAGTTTCCAATTTTCATGGGCCAAACAATAAAATAAACACAGGAAGATGCGAAAAACGAGAGGAAAAACTAAACACGAAGAAAATTGAGTGCTAGCGTAGGAGGAAAAACACTGCGCAAACAAAAGTAAATGAAATTTCCGCTTGGAACAAGACTTCTACACACTCCTACTCTGCCACACCCCTGGAAGTATCTTCCTCAGTATATCAATAACTACAGATACTAGGAATATGGGATATGGAATACGTATATATATGAAGAGGCAGTGGGCAGGAGTTTGTACTAGCTGTTTGTTTGTGCTGCCAAATGAAGCCGAAGCCAAAGCCAAAGCCTTAGCCTCCTGCCTTTTGTTTGTATTTTTTTTTTTTTGCAATTTAAAGTGCCGGAAATATGCTTTAGCTTTATGGGTTTTTAGCGCCCTCTCTCTGCAATCTCCACATCATCCAATCTTCCAATCTTGTCCGCAGTCTACCCCCCCTGTAAACTGATACCAAATTACTGCGTCTAGCCGCACTGCAAAGAGAGAGAGAGAGAGAGAGAGAGGGAGAGCGAGCTAGTCGTTGTCGGAGACAGATAATATCTTTTGATTAGTGGCAACCGCACAAAACTTTAATTAAATTCTCGCACACACAATTCTCGTCTCTTCGCTCTGATGCTGCTTCTGTGTGGGGAAAGTTTATGCAGCATTTGCCCCGCCATGTCACCAGATATAAGTTTTACCAACGCCCCGAACGAAGGGACACTCATATGCATGAGAGGGACAAAGAGAGAGAGAGAAAGGGTCCAGAAGAGTCCCTTTGTTTGCCATTAGAGCAAAGAGTCGGCGCACAGGAGAGCGGCGGAGGCTTTAAGTTTTCAAATGGCATATTAGAAAGAACAAAAAATAAAAGCAGAACGGGAAGAAGTACTAAAGTTGAGGAACAGGACTAAGAGATACCGCTTAGCAGAGTGGAAAAAAACAGCTACTTTCAGGAGTGTTACTACAGGAATCGTTACTAAGAATATCAAGTATTATGTACAAAAATAATTGGTATAAAAATTCCTCAAAAATCAACCCATTATTGAGCGGAGTTTGGAAATTTCTGAAATATAATTGAGTAAACCTTCACTATTATTTGATTATTAATTCTTTAGTGTCCTGCTTTCTGTTACAATTGAAACTCCCTTTTATTAGCAGGGTAACCAAAAAGAAAGGATGGAGAAACCCCCAGACTGGAAACGGAAAACTTTTGCCACAGTAAAGTTATATGGGGAATATGCGACCAGAGAGGCTCATGAGTTCAGACTCTCCTAATGAATTAATTAGTTGATTTTGTCAGGGGTGAGGAATGAGTGCTGAAAACCCGAAACTTGCCACAAACCAAAACACTTGAAGGGGGGGGGGAGCACTTGAGAAATTCATGAATTCTTTATACGTTTTATATTTAATTTATTTATTTATTTCATATATATTTATATGGTTTTCCTATAACTTTAAGGACATACGAGTGTGTGTATTTGTGTGTAACTTTAATTGCCATAAATTTTCATTTGTGCCACAAGCAGCCGAATGTATCCACGGGGGCAAAGGCAACAGGAGCCAGTGAGTCAGAACCGAATACTTGCCACCAGGAAGATAACTCAAAATATCCCTCGAATGTTGCACCATTTGTTCTGAGATATTTTGAATTATTTCCGAGTGGGTTTGTCTGTCGTTGGATGTTGTTTTGGGGATTAAAACAGTTCGGATCGAATCGAATCGCTGGCTGCTGTTGCCCAATGCCGCCACAAAATGGAATCTCGGCATCTTTTGTGTGTGTGTGGCACACCAGGCATTTATTTATCTTTACTCTTTTTCGTTTGACGCTTTCGATTTGTGTTTTTCTTTCTTTCTTTTTGGATACGATTTATCACAGCTTACAAAAATGAAATCATAAAATCAAAAAGCTCTAAGGATATTCTTTATATATGTAGATCGTGTAATGGCACATGTCATTGGTGCCACGCCCACACGCGGGGCACAGTGGGGGGAAACGGACACTCGAGCATTCAGATACATTTCTTCGCTCGCACTTTCCGTTCGAGTGGCGCACACCGCACAGGCCCGTCTGTGTGGGCATCGCCAGCACAATGGTTTGCAGTTTCTTCAATCAATCATTACAACAATCCTTACATCATTCATTCAAAAGTACAAAAAGCTAGAAAATCAAAGGGTTGGAAGGGGGGAATTTAGGGGAAAATATGCTTAAACTATGACTAAAGTTTTTCTTTTCGTTGTCGTTTTTTGTTTTTTTCTCTTGCTGAGGCTTATTTGAGGCTCTTCTTCTTTTTGCTGCTGCTGGGTATTTGCGCCCACAGCCTGAAGAAGTACTCATCGCGTTGCAGGAGCCTACCCCGAGCATATGAATGGATATCAGCATCCATGTTATGATCCCTCAGCCACGACGAGGTGTTGCAAGTGCTCATCTCTGTGCGTGGCTCATCGGGTAGGCTTTCATGACCTGCAAAAGCAAAAAGGGGAAGGCAATTACTTATGTTCTCCAAGATAAATAGCTTCTTTAGACTCCTACCTGCTGTCATAACCTTGTAGGGCTCTTCCGATTCCAGTGGTTCACTCAAACCGATCTCATTCTTGGCGAATATGCGTATCATGTACTCGTGATTCTCTTGCAAATCACGAATCTGGAAACGTTGCACACCCGCCGGCACACGACCCACCTCGATCCACATGGTCTTCTTCATGTCACGTATGGCAATGTGATAGCCGAGCAGTGGTGCACCTCCATCTGACTCGGGTATACCCCATTCGAATATGTGAGCATTGGCAGCGAGAACACGCGCCTCCAGTGGGGCAGTGGGTGGTGAGGGAACGGCTACGAAGAGAGAGAGAGAGAGTGAGGTGTAAATTAGAGAAAGGAATTAGATAATGAAAGTTTTTAGACTACTCACTGGCATGTGTCTTGAGGGATATGCTTTCGGTGACGGCTGGCGCACCCAGACCCATCTCATTCTCCGCCGAGACACGGAACCAGTATTCGCATTTCTCTTTCAGATTATCGATCGTATAATGCAGCTGATGTGCATCTAGTGTTATGACCTTTGTCCAGGTCGTTGATGTCGATGAACGTTTCTCCACGCAATAGCCTAAAGGGAGAAGATATTTATTCCGCACTCAACTGCAGAGAATTCGCCACAAGTTACCTGTAATTTCGGAGCCACCATTGCGCGCTGGGACCTCCCAATCGAGGGTCACACTGCGGCTCGTGACATCTGGGGCTCGCAGATTCTGTGGCGGCGATGGCGGTGCTGCACAGACAGGGAAAATTATTTAATTAATGAAAACACTAGCTCTACTTTTCATGGATTTTTGTGTGTGTTTGCCACGTACCATTTTCATTAGCTGTTTGTTAGAAGTTTCAGCAAAAGCATTAGAAGCGGGTTTAAAGTATAAAAGCAAAAGCAAATAAGCAAAAGGAAAGTCTTGACTTGAGGTAGGATAAACATACTTATTTTACGACCCACTAGAATCTTTTCTGTGGTCTCGTATGCCTCGCTGGTGCCTGCCTCATTGCGGGCATAAATCCTGAAGAAGTAGCCCTTTGTACGCAGAACCTTCTCCACATGAATATTCGTGACAGTGCCCAGGGTAATGCCCACCGAACGGTAGATGGTTTCAGTCTCTTCCCTGATCTCTACAATATATTCGAGTATCTTGGAGCCACCATCGCTCTCCGATGGCTCCCAGGCCAGGGTAAAGGAAGTGTCGTTCATGCCAGAGACGTTGGTGGGGCCACGCGGGGGTGAAGGTTTTTCTGGGATAGAAAAAGTATAGAATTTAAATATCTCTTAGAAGATTTGTGCTTTTTTCCTTTTTGCTTACCAAACTTCTTGGTTATCGTCACCGTCTCCGATTCCGTGGGTTCCGACTCACCAATGGGATTGGCGGCCACCACACGGAACATGTACTGCGAGTTTATGGACAACTTTTGAATGGCATACGAATGAATGTCCTTGTCAAAGTCAGAGACCTTCATCCACACATTATTTTGGACATCGCACTTCTCCAGCGTGTACTTGTTGATGTCCAGACCGCCATCATCCACCGGTGGTGTCCACTCCAAGATGATGGAGTCCTTCTTCACATCCTTAATCTCCAGGGACTGTGGGCGACTGGGCTTATCGATCACCTGGACCGTGCACTCGACATACGAGGAGCCCGATTCGTTGGTGGCCGTCACCTTGTACTTGCCCGAGTGTTCGCGTGTCAATTTCTTCACGGAATACGTGGATGTAGTCTCTGTGGTCTCTATGGACACGGTCTTCTGCTCGATGGTGTCCTTGTGCCATGTGACCGTGGGCCGTGGATAGCCGCGCACCGTTGCTGGAATGGTCAGTGTGCTGCCCGTACGGAGCTTCTGTTGCAGATACTTGTCCTCCACCTCAACGACGGGCCTCTGTTGCAGCTTCAGTCTACAGGAGGTCTCCACGGAGCCCCTCTCATTGCTAGCCACACACGTGTACGTGGCTTCAGTCTCAATTGTTGTCTTTTCGATAATGTATTTGGCCACACGATTCTCGTAGCGCAAACTTGTCGACTCGAACACCTCTCCGTTCCTCTTCCACACAACCTTGGGCTCTGGAATGCCACCAAACACGCAGGACAATGTGATCTCCTTGTCGAGTTCACTCGTCAGATCTTGCAGTGCTTCGCGTACACTGGGTGCCTCCGTTTCGACCTTTGGCACCAGTCGAATGGGCGGCGAGTGTGGCGATGGCGGCGATGGTCCCACTTCATTCACAGCAATCGAACGGAACACATATTCCGTGTCAATCTTCAGCTTCGAAATTGTATATGTGGTATCCTTGATTTTACGTATTTCAGTCCATCTGCAGAGGGTAGAAATGGTTGTAGTTAGTATCGAAAATAATTGGAAAATTGGGCCACTTACTTTTCTTCCTTAACATCATGATATTCCAGAATGTATTCAATGATTTCGGACTTTCCATCATCCTCGGGTGCCTTCCAGTACAGCGTAATGGAGTCATGCATCACCTCCAGGGGCTGTGGTGTGCCAGGTGCCGTGGGTTTGCCTGCGCAGAAAAAAAGGTTTATTTTAATTATGATTTGGGTATTGGCAACAAAGGGTGAGTGGCAGCTGGTACTTACGCATAATAACCAAATGTAAACTGGCCTCTGCCTCACCCACGGGATTCACCAGCTTCACCGTATATTGGCCCTCATCATCGTCGACAACCTTACGCAGGGTCAATGTGGCGGACTGTTCATCAATTGTTGGTGTAACGCGCTTTGACTTGGGTATGACAACGTTGCGAGTGGTCCAAATGGCCTCCGGTTGCGGTGCACCGCCCGTGTACTTGACAGTGAATGTGGCATCATCGTTCTCCTTTACCTTCAGCGTTTGCTCCTTGTCAGAGGTAATGACGGGCGGCAGCTTGAGCTCTTCAACGCACAGCTTTGTGCTGCTGGTGACATTCTCGGCCACACAGCTGATCTCGCCAGCATCCTCATCGTTGGCATCATGGATGACCAACCGACGGACAGTGCCCTCAACAAACACCTCGTGTTTCGGATTGGGTTTGATGGGTTTACCCTTTTTGTACCATGTAACCTCCACATCGGGCTGCGACAGCTCTACAGTGAACTCGGCATCGGTGGTTTTGGTGGCCAAAGTGACATCGGGCAGGCGGATGACAAAGTCCACCAGCGGTTCCTCCACTGTCAGCGTCGCCTTTGAGGTTTGTTCACCCACTTGAATGGAATATTCCCCAGCATCCTCTGGCTTTGCCTTCACTATGCGTAGAGATTGCTTTTTGCCATCGATGGCCAGTTGGATGCGTTCATTGAACACCAATTCCTTGCCATTCTTGAACCACTTAACTAGGGCATCGCCCTTGCTCAGTTCCAGATCAAAGATGGCATTCTCACCCTTTGTAACGGAGACATCCTCCAAGGGACGGATGATCTCGGGCGGTAGTTCAATGACCGTCAGCTCACAGGAGCATTCATGGCCTTCGATTTTGCAGGTATATTCGCCCTCATCGTGTATGGTGGTGTCACGAATGACCAGACGACGGGATTTGCCATCCTTGATGAATTCCACATTCTTATTTTCGATTGTGATCTTCTCTCCATCCTTGAACCAAATGACTTCGGTGGCTTCTGTGGTCAGTTCTACATCCAGAATGGCTGTATCCTTCTCGGTTACCTCGTAATCCTCGAGCACCTTGATGAAGTCGGGCTTACGCTGCAGTACCTCCACAGTGGAGGTTGTCTCTTGCTTCTTAACCTTGCACACATACGTGCCAGAGTCGCGTAGATTGGTGTTACGAATGACCAGCTTATGGGTCTTTCCATCCTCGACAACCACACGATGATCCATGCCGGAGAGCTCCTTGCCGTTGAAGAACCACTTGGTGGTGACAACATGCGACGTCTCACACTCGAGGGTCAGCGATTGCACCTCCTCGATGGTGATAGTTTTCTTTAGTTTCTTGGTAAATGTCACCTCATCGACCTCCACTATGACACGTGCACCGTGCGATGTCTTGCCAATCGGGTTGCTGGCAATGCACTTGTAGTCCCCGGAATCAGTCTCTGGATTGGCATCCTTGATGATCAGTTCGATAGTTTCGCCATCGTAGATCTGCTGAATGCGTTCGCTAGGGAACAGTGGGGCATTGTTGAACAGCCACTGAACCTCGGGCACTGGATTGCCTGACACCTTGGCGGGTAGACGTATCTCACCCTTTTGGGGGACATTTTGTTCCTCAAAACGTTCCACGAATAGCGGCGGCTCTGCATTTCCACTCGTGGGTTCTACAGGAAAAGGGGAGAGAATACAACTATTAGTAGACAATCCACAGCAAGATTTGTCCTTTTAGACATGAAACAAAACCTACCTTCAATTGTTAGATTTGCTGTGGTCTCCACGCTGCCCAAAGGATTGACAGCCTTTACCGTGTACTCGCCCTTTTCGGATTTTTTCGGTGTTATCAACGTTAAGGTATGCAAATCCTTATCAGATTTGGCATTCTTTACGGGTTTTCCGTCCTTATACCATGTAACCTTTGGCGGTGGATTGCCCACAATGTGCGTGGACAGCACGACACTTTCGCCCTCACGTATGACCATGTTGCGCAGCGGTTCGAGGATCTGTGGCGCCTCCTTCTCAGTGGTGCGCACCTTGAGTGTGATGGGCAGACGTGCCTCACCCTCGCGGTTCGTGGCAATCACCTCGTAGACACCCTCTTGTGATTTCTTCACCTTGGTTATGTGCACCACGCTGCAGTACATGTGCATATCGGATTCGGTGACAATTCGAATGTTTTTGATCTCCTCCTCGTCAATGTCCTCGCCGTTAAAGGTCCACACAATGTCAGGCTCTGGTACCGCCACCAAACGACACTCGAGAATCACATTCGTGTTCTCATCGACATACTGGGCCTTGGGTTTCTTCGAGAAGGTGGGTGGTATACCCTCTAGAATGTCGGCCAGTGAGGATTCACGGGACATGCTGCGACGCGACAAGGCAGTGGCATCCGAGCCATGATCCGACAGTGGACTCTCAACAATCAGTTCCGTGGTGCTGGATGTGAAACCAGCGGCATTCTTTGCCACGCACGTAAATTTGCCAGCATCCTCGGGGAACACTTCGCGAATGATCAAAGTTGCGACATTATCATCGTCGTAGAAGATTTGGAAATCCTGAGAGGGCTTAATGATGGCCGTCTCGCGGAACCAGGCAATCTGTGGCCTTGGGCTGCCCTCAACCTTGCACTCGAACTGCACCGTGTAGCCATCGGGTGTGTGGATGGGCTGCAGTTTCTCAATGAAACGCGGGGCAATGGGCTTGTCTTCGGGTCCGGGACCTTAGCATTATGACAAAATCACAAGAAAACGAAACAACAATTGATTGGCTTGTTAGTTAAACAATTAACGAAGACAGATACAATGATTTTTAGTTGCATTAAAGATCAAGGAACACTTTGAACGTTCCCTTGGATCAGACATGAATTAACTTACGTTCAAACACTGGCAGCTTGTCAATCTTCTCGTGAAGTTTATTCTGCACATATTGGGCATACTCCTCGGGCTCCATTAGATATTGGGCGGGCACCCAGCCCTCCTCCTCGGTGATGCTCTTCTTCACGTACCACCACTCGGAGCTGTGGCGACCCACCACAGTGACCTTTTCACCTTCCACCAGATTGATGGCCTCATCGTTGTCGGCAATGTAATTGCATATCGAATACATGATATTGGGATTTTCCGATTCTATAAAAGAGAGGAGAGTTGAGTCTTTTCTTGGGGGTATTTAATTCTCGATGGAACTTACCTTCAACATTCATTTCCCTGGTGATATTCAGAGATGCTCCATCTGTGCCGAAAGAGATACAATATTTTAGTTTTCATTCCAATAAAAAGTTTAACAATTAAGTTTGTTTATTGCCACAATTATTGCGTAGGGTGGGGGGTTTGGTTATGCATTAGCTACTGACACTCAAAAGTATTTCTTTGGTTTTTGTTTTGGGTAAACATTTGTTACCTTGCCACACGCTGTGATATCATATAAGCAGATCGAATAAAGCATTATATAACCATTATCCCCGTGGGGAGATATGGAAGCTGCAGACTTACCTTCATTGTACAGTTGTTGTATAACCTTTCGCTTCTTTTTGAATGTGAGCGAATCCTCATCGTACGTTATGGAATCTCGCTTGGGCTGACGAATGCCAATTAGGAATTGTTCCTCCTCCTCATCTTGCACGGAATAGCTGGGCTTTGCCTGCTTCTTGGGCTTCAGCTTGAAGTCCACCTCGTCTGGTGGGAGTTCTTCCACCATGTACTCTTCGGGTTCTTCCACCTCATCGATGGTATCCTCGTCGTCGCGTATTTCTTCGATGATTTGCTCCTGTCCATCATCATAGTCCTGCATGATCTTGATCTTGGCCTCATCGGCAGCCTCATTGTAGGTCTTTTTGATGGGTTTCTTGATCTTAATCTTGCCCGACATTGAGACCTCCTCCTCGGCATAGGAATCGAGAGCAATATTGAACTCCTGATCGACATCCTCCTTGGTCTTTGTTGTTCTCGCACGGAAGGTCACGTTCTCGGTTTCTCCATACTCTGGAATGTCCACCTTCTTACGGCGCAGTTGCTTCTTGACCGTGTAGGCTTCCTCGTCCTCTTCGGTGATTTGCAGAGGCTTCTTCTTGGCCTTGGCACTGACAACAAACTCCTCAATGTCCTCGCCCTCTTCGTACTCTTCTTCCTGGCGTTTGATGGACAACTCGGCGGCAGCCTCGTCCAAGGTTTGTGGCTTCACGGGGCGCTTCTTCAGGACTGTGCCCGTCTCCTCCACACCCTCAGTGATGGTGTGGGGCTTCTTGAACGAGAGACTAAACTCGGTTTCCTCATGCTCCTCCACCGATGGTTCGAAAGGTTTCTTGGGCTTGCGGCGCATAACGATGGCCTCTTCGACGATTTCTTCCTCTTCGATTTCCACGGGCCTCTCCTCCACGACCGTTTGCTGCAGCTTCAACTCATCGGCGGCTTCTTCTACGGGTTTCTGTGGCTTTTTCTTCTTTTTCAGTTGCACTGTTTGATCGGAGGTCTCTTCGGTGACGGTCTTTTCCCTTGGCAGCTTCACATCCACAGAGAATTCTTCTTCGTGAATCTCCTTGGGCGCCTTGGGCTTTAGTGTGACCTCAGCAACCACTTCTTCGTCCTCGACAGGTTCGGGTTTCTTGAGTTTAATCACAGCAGCATCCACTATATCCTCGGGTACGGGTTCCACCTTGGGTGCCTTCTTTTTCTTAATTTGCACTTCCTCCACGATTTCTTCTTCCACAATGGGTTCGGGTATGACCTCCTCTTCGATCTTGACGGTTAGTTCTTCGGCGGCGACTTCTTCCACGGGCTTCTTGGGCTTTTTCTTGACAATCTTTGCCTCTTCCTGCACCTCTTCGACCTTTGGTTTGGGTTTGAGTGTGACCTCAGCTTCGGGTTCTTCTACGACTGGTTTTTCCTTGGGTTTTTTCTTTGGAAGAGCCACTTCTGCCACCTCTTCAATCTCTGGTTCGGTCTCCTTAATGCCGAACTTGTACTCTTTGGGTTTCTCTTGGGGTACTTCTTCGGGCACTTCTTCGATTTCCTCAATGATCTCCTGAACCAGCTCTGGCTCGACGGGCACCTCTTCTGTGATGGTTACCTGCAGCTCAGCGGCAGCCTCCTCCACAGGTGCTGCCTTCTTGGGCTTCTTCTTGATTTTGGCCTCCTCGGAGACCTCTTCCACGACCGGCTTGGGTTTCAACACAAACTCTGCCTCGGGCTCTTCCACCACTTCGGGAGCAACAACTGGCACCTTCTTTTTCTTCTTTTGCAGCGTGACTTGCTCCTCGGGCAGCTCCTCCACTGTGGGAACCTCTTCGATTTCCTCAATCTCTTGGACAAGCTCCACCTCGGGTGCCTGCTCTTCAATGATGGTGATCTTGAGTTCGGCGGCCTCTTCTTCGGTGGGTTGTTCGGGCACGATGGTGATGCTGGAAACAGCTTCAACCTCTTCGACGGGCTTTGGAGCGGGAATAGAGACTGCGGCCTCGGGTTCCTCCTTAACCTCTGGCTTGGGTTTCTTCTTGCGAATCACCTTAACCTCTTCCTCAATGGATTCTTCCACAATTTCCCTTGGCGTCTCCTCAATCACCTTCACCTTATGCTCTGGGTAGACTTGGGGCTCAGGTTCTTCGACAATTGGTTCAACAACGACCTCTTCCTCCTGTGGAATCTCCTCGACAGGTTTCTCGGGAGCTTCCGTTTCCGTGACGCCAATCGTGTAGGTCTTATCCTCCACCTTGGGAGCGACAACTTCCTTGATTTCAGTGACCACTTCCTCGACCTCTTCGATGATGGGAACCTCCTCGGGAATTTCCTCTGTGATTTGAATCTTTAGCTCTTCGGCGGCCACTTCCTTGACCTTCTTTTTCGGTTTCTTGGTCTTGATTTGGGCCTCCTCTGTGACCTCTTCGATGGGTCGGGTCTCCTTGATGATTATCTCTGTGGCCGGCTCATCGGCAAAGGTCACCGACTGCTTGCGCTTCTTGACCGTGAACTGTGCCTCACTTTGTGGCTCCTCGACGGGTTTCTCTGGAGCTTCCGTTTCCGAGACACGTACCGTGAACTCTTGTGGTTTTTCTTCCACAATTTCCTCCTTTTCCACAAGTTGTGGTTGGATTTCCTCGGGCACTTCTTCGGGCAGTTCGGGTGCTGCCTCCGTTTCCACAACCTTGATCTCCAATTCAGCGGCTGCCTCTTCGGTTTTCTTTGGTTTTTTGGTCTTCTTTTGTTTGATTTCAGTTTCCACGTGGATTTCCTCCGTTTTCTTGGGTTCTGTCACAACAAATTCGGCCTCCACTGCTTCGGGTTGGGGTTTGGGTTTACGCTTGAAGACTGCCTCGGCGGGTGCTTCCTCCTCCTCGGGTTGTTCTTCAACCGGTGTGACCTTTTCAGGCTCTGTTTCCTTGACCTTGATTTCATATGAATCGTAGGACTCGATAACCTTTTCTTCGGGCTTCTCCTCCTCTACTTGTGGAGTTTCTTCGATCACTTCCACGGGCTTTTCCTCGACGGGAGCTTCCGTTTCTGTGACACTGAATTCGTAGGACTTTGGTTTCTTTGTCTTTTTCTTTTCCTCTGGTTTCTCCTCCACTGCGGTTTCCACCTCTTCGACAGGTTGTATCTTTTCCTCTTCCACGACCACAATCTTATCTTCTTTGACCTCCTTTGCAGGTTTTTTCTTGGCCTTCTCCTTGACCTTGATCTCTTGGGGCGCAGGTTCTTCGGGTGTGGGTTCTGTGAGCTTCAATTCAACTTGGAACTCCTCCGTTTCCTCGACAGGTTTCTCCACGGGAATGGTGACCTCGGCGGTGACCTCTTCAACCTCTGGTTCTTGCACCTGTGGCTCTTGCAGCGTGACCTCGTACTCTTCGGGTTGCTGTGGCTTTGGTTTCTTGCGGCGCGTCACAACCTTCTCTTCGATGACTTCTTCGGTGGTTTCGTGGCGTTCATCGGAATCGATGACACGTACCTTGTGCTCCTTGGGCGCCTCTTCGGGTTCCAGGACTGTGGTTGTGATTTTGTACTCGACGGGAATCTCTTCGGGCACTTCCTCAGGCTGCGGTGCCTCCTCCGTGACCTCCACTTGGGCTACAGGCGCCTCCTTGGGTTTCTTTTGCTTTATCTTAACCTCCTTGGGCTTTTCTTCTTCAATGGGAACCTCCTCTGGGGCCTCTTCCTCCTTCACGGAGACCTCAAACTCTTGCGGAACTTCCTCGGTGACCTCCTCCTCCTTTGGCTGTACCTTTTTGGCCTTGGGCTTCTTTGCTTTCTTGGCTTCCTCTTGGGGAATCTCTGGAATCTCTTCTGCTTTGGGTTCCTCCTCCTTTTGTTGGACGATGGCCGCCTCAACGGGTGCCTCAGCCTCTGGCACCTTTGGCACTGGCTTCAGTTTGATTTGAGAGTCGGTCTCCTCTGGAGCTTCACTTTCGGGAATGCGGAACTTGACCTCCTGTTCGGGTACCTCCTCTTCTTCCTTGGGCACACCTGGCACAATCTCTGAGATAATTGTTTCCGGCTCTGGTTTGGACTTATCCTTGGGCTTGTACTTGGTCTTTGTGGGTTTCTTTGGTTTCTCGGGCTTTTCGGGATGTTCAATGGGTTCCAGTTCCTCGGGCACATATTCCGAAGTTTCAAAGTCTACGGGCTGGAAGGCTGGCACCTCAAAGTGTCCTTCCTTGGGCTCCTTGGGCTGTTCCTCGACCACAACGACTTCCTTGGGCTTGCGCTGGAGTTCCACTTCCTCTTCGACTTCCTGTGTCTTCTGTGGAATCTTCTTGAGGGTAACATTCTCTGACTGTTCCTCCTCCTTGGGCTTCTTTTTGCCCTTTCCAAGCTTTATTTTTACTTCTTCTTGCTTCTCCTCGGGCTTGGGAGTCTTTTCTGGCTTCTGGTAGGGCTTCGGCTCCTCGGACTCCTCCTCGCTGCTGACATACTTCTCGTACTTCTCTAGCTCAACCTTCTCCAGGTCGTCCTTGATCTTTTTGATCTTCTTGGTCTTTGGTTTCTTGAACTTGAGCGCCTCCTCAGCCTCTTCGATGTTGCGGGAGAGCTCACCATTGTCCTTTGTGGCTCCAATTTCGGTTAGCTTGGGTATCAATGGCGCCGGTGGATATTCTACCGTGACCATGCGGGTCTTGAGACGGAATTTGGGCAACTGTACGGACTGCTCTTCGGTGGGTTTTTCCTTGCGTTTGCCAGGCTTTAGCTTCACCTGTTTCGGTACCTCGGCGGCCTCTACAATCGTCACTTTCGTGGGTTTCTGATCCTTTTGAACGATTTTCATAGGTTCGAGGTTCGCGAATTCTGGTTTCAGTTTCTTGGGCAGGTCGAAATCGATTTTCTCGTACTTTTCTAGCTCTGTTTTCTCGATCTCTTGCTCCAGCAATTTGCGGATAATCTCATCATGATCATCGGTCTTCTTTTTGATAATCTTTTTCTTTTTGGTCTTGGGTTTGGTGACATCCTCGGGTTGGTCTTCGGCGATGGGTTGCTCCTCCTCTTCCTCCACTTCCTCAATAATGGGTTGGGATTCCTCAATCTCTGAGACTTCTTCGATTACGCGTATCTCATGGATCTTCTCGGGCTCCTCCTCCTCTTCGACGATGGGCTCCTCATGAATAATGTTGATTTGATAGTCTTTGTGTACCTCTGTTGCTTCACCTGTATGGAAAATTCATTAAAATTTAAATAAATTATGTTCTTAACGAGGTGCGAAAATGATCAACCGGGATCAATATCCATTTGGAGGGCGGGTACCGTGCATTGCTTTTGCCAGAAAGCAAGCAAAAAATCGTTGATAACGTTGGACAGAAAGACATAATACATTTTTGTAGGCTATATTTACAGAGATACAGATAAATATATTTACAGAAGGATTGAACATGTTTTTATACAAAGGCTTTAAGGATGTGTTAACTGAAAGATGGAAGTTATATATTTTACAAAGGATTTTGGGGGTGAAAGATGGCATTTTGTACAGAGGATTAGCTGAAAGATGGAGTTAGATTTTAGTGGATAAAAAGAGAGTAAATATAAATTCAAAGATGTATTAAAATGTATGAACACTCATGCAAACAGGGTATTAATATTCGTGTTATTGTGTTGGAGTGGGGGGTTGTAGGGAAGAAGATAATTCATCTGAAAGATCATCAGCAAGAGAGAGAAATTTTTAAAGGCGGACAGGCGTGAAAAGACAATTGTCACAAAGGAGCAAAAACGGAGCAATAGACACAGGAAAAAACGGGAGCAACAGGAGCAGAAAAAGACTTAATAAAAAGGAGAGAGCGATAAAAAATCGGAGCATAAAAAAGGGCAAAAGATATAGAAAAAGTTGGAATAAAAGAGCAGCAAAAGTCACGGGAAAAGGGCAGTGAAAGAGCTGCAAAAGACATGGTAAAAGTGGAGCGCAAAAGGAATAAAATGTTTAGAAATAAAGAAAGCAATCTACAAGGGATACATAACAGCAGCATGTAAGGAGCAACAGAACAGGGAGAAAGGGGGAGCGTAAAAGGAGCAATATACATGGACAAAACGGAGCAAAAGACACGGAAAAACGGAGCATAAAAGGCTTCAAAGACGCAGAAATAATGGTGCTGCTTTGGCGCCGGCGAAAGGTCGGGGAAGATTTCTTTTGAGTTTTGTGTGTGGGGGGCGGACGCGAACTTACTTGTTGTTGGCTCTACGATATCTTTGTGTGTTTCGGGTTTTGTTTTCTGTTTATGTTTAATTGTTTTCTGTGCTGTTGTAGCCTCATCTTGCGGTGTAATTTGTGCAGTGGCTGTGTCCTCGGGTTCATGTGATTCTTGTGCATGTATCGGTGTTGCTGTTGTTGTTGGTGTGCTCTCTTCCTCATCGTCTTTGGGTATCTCTACAGTCGTCACGTATGTCGTCTGCTCTGTGGGTTCGTCTGTCTCTGTCTTGGGTTTCTTTTGGGTCTTTGGTTTCTTTGTTTGGGGTTTGGTTGAGTCGGGAACTTCCTCTACTGGAAGAGATTCCTCTGCTACCGGAAGAACTTCTTCCACTACTGGCTGAACCTCTTCTACTAACTCTTGAGGAGTTTCTTTTGGTGTTTCCTCTTCTATTAATTTCTTAACATAATCATCTAGATTCTCCTTCTTTACCTTCTTGACTGTTTTCTTGGGCTTCGGCTTGGGTTTCGTTTCGTTTTCTTCGGGCTGTTCTTCCACTGGCACAACGACTGCCTCTGGCTGTGGCTCCTCATCGACAATAACCATCACGGAGTCATTATCCTCACTTTCAATGGTTGTTATCTTGTATGTGGTATCTTCCTTGGGTCCCTTTTTCTTCAGTACCCGCTTGGTGGTCTTCTCCTGGATGGGTTTTCCCTCTTCCGTGACAATCTCCTGGATTTGAACCTCCTCCGGCTGGACCTCAACAATCTCAACGGGCAGGACAGGCTCTACAGGAGCTTCAACCTCGACGATCTTCACCTGTGCCAGTTCTTCGGGAACAGGAGACGCTTCCTTCAGCGCTTCTTTGTGTTTCGGTTTCTTGTCCTTCTTTGGCTTGCCCACGGGAGCTTCTTCCATCACTTCAATGGGTTTCTCCGTTGGTGTATCCTTGACTGTCGGTTCAAAATCGAATTTCTCATACTTCTCCAACTCGGTTTTGGGCGTTTCCATATCAATGAGCTTTTGTATGTAGTCATGGATATCGTCCTTCTTCACCTTCTTGGTTTTCTTTTTGGGTTCCTTGGGCTTCTCATCCTGCTTTGCGGGTGCTTCGGGCTCGTATTCCACAATTGTGATTTCCGCTTCAGGCTGATCATCCCTGAGGACTTCTATGATTTCAATTTCACCCTCGCCATCAGGTCGCTTGATCTTGCGTTTGGTGGTGACCTCCTTGTGGGTCTCGCCAGCTTCATCTGTGGTCTCCCTGACCTCCGGTTCGCTTTCGATGACTTCGATGGTGAATGGTTTTTCTTCCAGCGGTTCTGGGGAACTTTCCTTGATGGAAATTTCATAGGATTCAAGTGGTGTGGTCTCGGGGGCTTCGTGTGGCTTCTTGGTTGTCTTTTTCTTTGTGGGTTTTTCCTCGGATGCGGTTTCCTCCTTGATGGAGATGCTGAATGTTTGATCTTCTGGTTTCTCAGGCTCAGATTCGATTTCTATAACTTCTAGAGGCTCTTCAGGTGTTTCTGCCTTGGGTTCTTCCTCAGCAACGACTACCTTTGCCTTTGGCTTCTTTTTCTTTTCAGGCTTTGGAGCTTCCTCCGTTTGTTGGATCTCAAGTTCAGGTTCTTCTACAATCGGAACGGAAACCTCCACAGTAAAGACATCCTCTTCTAGTTGAGGCGTTTCCTCTGGCACACTCTCTACAACGGAGATTTTCTCTTGTTCTGGTTTGTCCTCCTCTACAGCGGCTGGCTTTTCCTTCTTGGCCTTCTTTTTGGGCTTTTCTGGCGTAGGTTTCGAGGGAGTCTCCTCTGCGACAGCCACAACAGCTTCTGGTTCGATGGGTTTCGGTGCTTCCTCCTCAATCACAGCCTTGATAAAGTCCTCAACATCATCCTTTTTCATCTTTTTGGTACGTTTCTGCTTAACCACAGGCTCCACATCTACGGTTTCCTCCGATGGAGTTGTCGTGGTGACTGTTATCTCAGATTCATTTGTATCTGCATCTGTGACCTCGACAATATCGTGAACTATCTCTTGGAGACCCTTTTTCTGCTTAATTTTCTTAGTTTTGACAACCTTGTCCCTGATTTTACCCTCCTCATCCGGCAACTTCTGAATCTCTACTGTCTCCTCGAGCACGACGATTTCAAAGGTCTTTTCTTCGGGCTTCTCCGGTGAAAACTCGCGCACAGTGATCTTTAGTTTTGGTTCTTCCTTGGTCTCCTCTGCCTTTGGTTGATCTTCCTCGGGAGCGGATGTTTCTTCTTCGGATTCTTGTGGTTTTTCGGTGGGTATTTCCTCCCGAACTTTGACCTTTTTTACGGGTTTCTTTTTCATTTTGACCGGCTCATCCAAGTCGATCTTTTCGTACTTTTCCAACTCCGTTTTGGGTATGTCCTGCTCGATGAGTTTTTGAATATAATCGTGAAGGTCGTCCTTGGGGACCTTCTTTGTTTTCTTAACCTTCTTGGGTGCCTCTTCCTTTGGTATGTCTTCCTTTATAGGTTCCACCTCTTCGGTGTGCACTATGACCTCGTATTCGGGTGTTTCTCCCTCCTTCGTGGTCTCGACAATTTCAATTATCTCCTCCTTGGGACCCACCTGCTTCTTGATCTTTCGCTTTGTGACAGTCTGCTTGGTGGTTTCTCCTTTGTCGTCTGTGACTTGCTGTTCCACAGCCTCCGTTTGAAGTTCCTGGATCTGGAAGGTTGGTGCCTCCAAAGGCGTTGGCTCTTCCGAGTCTAGAACGATGGTTGTGTGTTCGGGGAAGTCTTCTTCGGGCACATGCTCCTCGGAAGTGGCTTTCACGAGATACTCTGGGGATTCCTCTTGTGAGGGTTGCTTTTGAGTCTTAGGTTTCGATGGTTTTTTGGACTTTGGCTTGGGTTTTTCTTCTACGGAAGTTTCCTCTGTAACACCGATTGTATAGGCTGGAGTTTCCTCCGGCTTTTCAATAACTATTTCCATAGTTTCCACGAAAGTTTCCTTTGGTACTTCAGGTTTCTGCACGTCCGCCTCTTCATCTGTTTCAGTGACTGTATATTTCTTGGGTACTTTCTTTGTTTTCTTGGGCTTTTCCTCCAGAATTTCTTCTGGCTCACTTTCTACAGTTTCAATCGGGGCCTGCTCCACGAATTCCTCAATAACATTGATGACATATTCCTCAATTTCATCCTTCTGCAATTGCTTTGGCTTCTTGAGATTCTTCTTCACTGGTTTGGGTTTTTCTTCGGTGATTTCCACCTCATCGGCGGTCACTTCAGTGACCGTCACCTCAGCAATAGGTTGATCCTCACCGGTGGTGGTTTCTGTGATCTCAAAGACCTGCTCCTTGGAACCCTTGCGGCGCAAGACCTTGCGCTTTTTGATGGTCACCTCTTTGATGGTGCCCTCCTCATCGGGTTGCTCGACAACTTCAACGGTCTGTTCAATTTCCTCCAAGGGAACAACGGGAAGCTCCTCCTTTTTGTCCTTTTTCTTTTTCTGTGGCTTTTCCTTCTTTGTGGGCTTGGGTTTTTCTTCGGGAGTTTCCTCCAGAGGTTCCAAGAATTCATCCGAAACATTGACTAAATATTGCGTAGAGTCCTCTATCTTTTGTGGCAGCTCCGGCACATCCTCTGGGAGCAGTTCTATCTCCTCGGGTTTCTCCACTTCTGGCTCGATTTCCTCGACATTAAACTCATGAATCGTCACCGGTAAACCATCCACAACATCGACAGATTTCTTGTGATGTGTCTTAACCTTCTTTTTGGGCTTCTTGGGCTTGTCATCCATCTCAGTGGGCTCGTACTGTTCCAGCTCAGTTTTCGTGATCTCCTGTTCGATCAGCTCTTGGATGTACTTGTCCAGATCGTCCTTGACAGGTTTCTTCTTCTTGATCTTTTGAACAATCTTCACGGGTTGCTCCACTGCGGCATCCTTTGGTGTTGTTTCCTCCGAGGGCACTTCAGTCGTTGTGAATTCAATGACGGCCTCGGGATTGTTCTCCTGATAAGTTTCTGTGATCTCAATGATGTACTCCTTGGGGCCATCCTTCTTCTTGAGTTTCTTGGTGGTCTTGACCTGCTTGACCTCCTCACCCTTTTCGTTGATTATATCCTCGATGACAGTTTCAGGGACAAGTTCCTCAATGCGAATGGTTTGCTTCTCCTCGGGTTTCTTAGTATGTTTCTTTGGCTTTGGAGTTTTCGGTTTCACTTCAACAATTTCCTCTGGAACATCGGATTCTTCCAACTCCTCCTTAAACTTCTGTGGCTCCACAAACTCTTCCAGCACGTTGATGATATAGTTTTGAACATCTTCGGGCTTCAGTTTCTTTGGCTTCTTGAGGGGCTTCTTTTCTTTGATCTCTGGCACCTTTTCCTCAGGCTTTTCTTCCTCTGTTATCTCGACAATGGAAACTTCAGCCAGAGGTTCATCATTCGTGATGGTTTCGGTGATCTCGAAGACCTGCTCCTTAGGTCCCTGCTTACGCGAAACCTTCTTCTTTTTGACCTCAACCTTTTTCTCAGTGCCATCTTCTTCGGTGACTTTGGTGATTTCCACAGTTTCCGAAAGGTCCTCAATGACGGGCTCCTCAAACTTGTAGGGCTCTACAAATTCTTCAAGGACATTGATCACATAGTCCTTGACTTCTTCGGGCTTCAGTTTCTTGGGTTTCTTGATGGGTTTCTTTTGCTTGAGCTCTGGAGCATCCTCCTTGGGTTCTACCTCTGTAATTTCTACAATGGAAACTTCAGCCAGGGGTTCGTCATTTGTAATGGTTTCGGTTATCTCAAAGATCTGCTCTTTGGGTCCCTGTTTACGGGAAACCTTCTTTTTCTTCACTTCCACCCTCTTTGGAATGCCATCCTCTTCCGTGACTTGTGTAATTTCCACAACTTCGCGAAGTTCTTCAATGATGGGTTCTTCCTTTTCAAATTCTTCAAACTTGTAGGGTTCCACAAATTCTTCAAGAACGTTGATCACATAATTCTTTACATCTTCAGGTTTCAGTTTCTTTGGTTTCTTGATGGGCTGCTTTTCTTTGATCTCTGGAACATGCTCCTCAGGCTTTTCTTCCTTTGTAATTTCCACTATGGTTACCTCCGCCAGAGGTTCATCATTCGTTTTAGTTTCTGTAATCTCAAAGATCTGCTCCTTGGGTCCCTGTTTCCTGGAAATCTTCTTTTTCTTTGTTTCCACCTTCTTTTGTGTGCCATCCTCTTCGGTTACCTTGACAACATTCACAGATTCGGAGATGTCTTCAATGATTGGTTGTACCTTCTCAACGTCTTCTGGCAGCTCTTCAAACTTATAAGGCTCTACATACTCTTCCAGCACATTGATTATGTAGTTTTTGACATCTTCTGGCTTGAGTTTCTTGGGTTTCTTGATGGGCTTCGTTTCTTTGATTTCAGGAACAGCTTCCTTCGGTTTTTCTTCTTCGGTAATTTCGATGATGGTTACCTCCGCCAGAGGTTCATCATTCGTGATGGTTTCGGTGATCTCGAAGACCTGCTCCTTAGGTCCCTGTTTACGCGAAACCTTCTTCTTTTTGACCTCAACCTTCTTCTCAGTGCCATCCTCTTCGGTGACTTTGGTGATTTCCACAGTTTCCGAAAGGTCCTCAATGACGGGCTCCTCAAACTTGTAGGGCTCCACAAATTCTTCGAGAACATTAATCACATAATCCTTCACTTCTTCGGGTTTCAGTTTCTTGGGTTTCTTGATGGGTTTCTTTTCCTTGAGCTCTGGAACATCCTCCTTGGGTTCTTCCTCTGTAATTTCTACAATGGATATCTCCGACAAAGGTTCATCATTCGTTATGGTCTCTGTGATCACAAAGATCTGTTCTTTGGGTCCCTGTTTCCTAGAGACCTTCTTCTTTCGAACCTCAACCTTCTGTGGAACACCATCCTCTTCGGTGACACGGACTTCAACCACTTCAGAGATGTCTTGAATGATGGGTTCTACCTTTTCCTCTTCCAGAACATTTATTTTTGCTGATTTCTTGGGCTTGGGCTTGGGCTTGGGTTTCTCTTCAACGAGCTTAATTTCCAGATCCTTGGGAGCTTCCTCGATGTCTTCATGATCACTCTCCTCTACCACTTCATATGGCTTAAGATCCTCCTGATCTACTTCAAACTCTTGGATGATAACCTCGTAAACTGTTGTCGGCACACCATCCACCACTTGAGTGGTTTTCTTGTGTTGTTTCTTGATTTTCTTGGGTTTCTTCACCTCCGATGGTTTGGATTCATCTACAGTGACTTGGTATTCTTCCAGTTCTGGCTTTGGAATATCCTCTTCAATGAGTTCTTGGATAAAGTTATCCAAACTTTCGGTCTTGGGCTTCTTTTTCTTGACAATCTTGATCTTGTGCTCCTCTTGTGGTTGTTCCTCCGTGGCTGATGTGATTTCTGTAGTTTGGACTACGACTTCAGCTTCGGGTTTGTTCTCTTCGTAGGTTTCAATCACTTCGATGAGATATTCCTTGGGTCCAGCCTTCTTCTTGAGCTTACGTTTGGTTACGACACGTTCCACAGTCTTACCCTCTTCATTGATTGTTTCCTCGATGATTGTTTCGGGTGCCAATTCTTCCACGCGAATTGTATATTCACTTATGGGTTCGGCAGGGGCTACCTCCTTTGGTTTCTTGGCTGGTTTCTTTGTTTTCTTGGGTGCAGAGTCCTTGACTTCCACAGAATATTCCTCGGCTTGCGGTGTCTCATCTATTTCAGTTACAGATACAATATCTTCTGTGATAGTTGTTTCCTCTGGAGCAAGTGCTGGTTCCGTTTCGGTTATTTTCACCTTTTTCTGCTTCTCCGATTTCTTTTTCTTATCCTTGGGAAGGTTGCGAACTTCTTCGGGTTTCTCCTCTTCAGGTCGAACCTCTTGCAGAGTCTCCTCTTCAATAACTGTTGTGGTAAAGGAGGTTATATCATCCACTGGTGATTGATCTCTCTCTGGAAGTGGTGTATAATCTTCAGATATCTCGGCAATCAATTCGAGAGGTGCCTCTTCTACAACCTTGACGATGTACTCCTTAAGTTTTTCCTTCTTGACCTTTTTCACTGTTTTCTTGGGTGCCTCGGGCTTATCTTCTGCTGGAGCATCAGTTGTATCTTCTGTTGTTTCTGTGGTTATGACGATGACCTTTGCTTCTTCGGGTGTGTCCTCGGGTGCCTCGGTTTCAAAGATTTCAATCTCATACTGCTTGGAACCCTTCCGGGTCTTGACCTTTCGCTTTTTGGTGATTTTCTCCTCTTTGAGTTCAACTTCCTCCAATACCAGTGGCACTGTTTCCACTTCCTCTTCGAGGACAACTATGGGAAGGGTTTCCTGTAGATCAGCAATGATTTCATCCAATTCGGGAACGATTTCCTCCTCGGACTCTTCAACCTCTTCCTGGGGAGCCCGCTCCGAATCGATCTTCTTGATCAAGAACTCATCGTACACTGGAATTACCTCCGTTTCAAGAGTTTCCTTTTCTTTGATGATTTTCTTGGCCTTGGGTTTCTTGGCCTTTGGCTTTTCCTTGGGCTCGTGTTCCGTGACTCCGATTTGGTGTGAATCGCCTTCTGGATAGACTTCTTCCTTGGGCTTTGGCTTTTGTTTCTTGGCCTTCTTTGGTTTGCCATCCACATCGATTTTCTCGTATTTCTCCAACTCGGTAAGGGGAATTTCTGCGTTGATCAGTTGCTGAATGTACGCATCAAGTTCATCCTTTTTCATTTTCTTGGTTTTCCTCTTGGGCTTTTCTGCAGCTGGAGAAACACATTCCTCCTCCTTTGTTTCGCTTGTGGTTATGGTTATTTCATAGAGAGGTTCTTCGCCTTCAGTAGGCACACTTTCCACAATTTCTAGGATCTCCGTTTCGTTACCCTTTTCATGGAGAATTCTACGCTTTTTGGGCTTCTCTTCGGATGGAACCTCCTCATCAGGCTGTAGTTCTGTGAGTTTCACCTCAAAGAAGTCTTCTGTGCGGGTTTCATAGAACTTTTGTTCGGGCTCTTTCTTGATTTCGGCCACAAATTCCTCAAGTTCTTCTTTGTTCATGCGTTTGACCTTCTTTTTGAGTGCTTTCTTGGGTTTTCTGTCATCCTGAACTGTTTCCGAACTTGTGATGGTAATTTCGTAGATCTTCTCATCACTATCTTTCGGTGAAACTTCCACAATTTCAATGGTGTTTTCTTCTACATCAGTCTTGACCTTAATCTTGCGCTTTTTCTTTGGTTCTTTGATGGGTTTTCTCGGGGTTTCCAATGCTTCCTCGGGAATGACTTCTGGTTCCAGTTCCTCTACATCATATTTGAAGAAAGGCTTCAGTTTTACCTCTTCCTGGACATCCTCAGGTCTTTCGCCTTGACGATAACGCAGCTTTAGATCGTCCTCGGGTGTTTCTTCAACATCCTTTGGCTTTCCGGGAGTGATTTTGTGTAGATTTGTTTCGGGTGTAGGTGTAACCTTCTTCTTTCGCTTGTGCTTGGGTTTATCCAGTGTTTCAGTTTCCTCAACAATTGATGTCTCCGATTCTTCAGGTTGTTCCAAAGTTCTTTCGAAATCTGTGATTTCTGTGGGTTCAAAGTGGAGTGAGTCCTGAGGTTTATCTGACTTTTTGGACTTCTTTTTCTTTGGCACCTCCTCTTCAGCCGCCTTTTGAGGTTTCTCTTCAATTCCCTCTTCTTGGCCCTCGATTTTCACTGGTTTCAAGTGAACTTCTTCGATGGTTTCGACATTCTGTGGAATCTTGCCTTTGCCAAGTTTGAGCTTACGAATTTCCTCAGGAGTTTCCACCTTTACCTTCTTTCCACGCTTGTACTTGGGCTTGGGTTGTTCCTCATCCGAGTGTTGGCTCTCCTCAGAGTCGAAGGTTTCGAGATCGGGCTGCTCCAGCTCGGCCTTTGAAGGTTTGCGATGTTTAAACTTCTTGGGGCGCAGCCGCAGAACCTCTTCGGCCTCTTCAATATTACGAGAAAGTTCTCCACTCTCCCGATGGGTCTCCAGCTCGGTCAGAACATACGGGAAGCAGTACGGAGAGAATGGTATGAATCGTATCCAACTCTTGAGTTTCTTGTTCTTGAACGATGCTTCGGGTTTCTTCTTTTTCTCCACCTCGGGGCGTTGCTTGGGCGCTTTGAGTTTCAGCATTTGCGGGAATTCTGCAACGGAACTGATTTCCACCATTTTCGGACGTTTAAATTCGATTTTCTCGATTTTCATGGGTGTCAACTTCATGGGTTGTGGTTGCTTGAAGGACGAATCACGACGAGCTCGTTGCGGAAGTTCCATTTCCGTGCGCTGATATCCCGGAAGGACTGTCTTAGGTATCTCCTGATGAATGAGGAATTGTATGTATGCATCCATATCATCGCGTTTCGATTTGATGACCTTCTTTTTCTTGGGTTTATCTTTCTTTTCAGCAGTAGCAGTAGGAGGACTCTCGTCAACCTTACCCTCTTCTATGACAACTAATTTCTTTGGTTTGCGTTTCTTAGCCCCCGTCTTTTCCCCAGGACCCTCCTCTGTCAGTGTCGTCTCCCCTGTAGGACCCTCGTCTGTCAGTGTCTCCCCAATAGGAGCCTCCTCCTGTTCCTCTTCTACAATTGTCTCCTCCTCAATGGGAGCCTTGGTAGCGGGTTTCTTTTTCTGTTTAGGTTTCTTTTTGTCGTCTCCTGAGTCTGCTGCACTTACAACATCTTCGGGTTCTGTGATAGTGTACTCTTTGTTGTTCTGTTGGTCTGTTTTCGAGAAAGAATTATGTGTGTTTTTTTGTGTTAGAACTAAACTAATGTTTTTTTGTACACTCTTATATTTGCATTTTATATAATGCTTTAAAACACCTTCCAACTTTGTGTGGCACAAAGTTTTAGTGCTTAGAATTATACCATACGCTTGTAACAAAAAATGTTTGTGTTTAGGTTAGAGATTTCATTTCAATTAAAAATGTACGTAATTTCGTTTTTGGTTTTCTAGAATTTTTAGATGTCACGTACAGAAAAGTGCAGTGTTAGTAATTATTTTGTGAGAATATATGAAGTGTTTTTCTCATGTTTAGAGTGTGATTGATTGATTTTTTAACTAACGACTGAATGACTGAAGGACCTTTGTTTTTTTTAAGACGCGGCTTATGGTATAGTATATGGAGTATACGAGTATTTTGTATATAGTATAGTTTGTTTTTTAAGTAAAAATCACCTGTTGTCTCGCTGACTTCAACAATTTCTAGGTGTGGTGTTGATTGTGGTGTTGTAGTGTCTTCTGGAATGGGTTCGGTATCACTGAGTACCTCCTCAACAACGATGCCTTGTTCCTCCTGTGAGATTCGTTTCTGTTCGGTTTCAATTGTGGTCTCTCCATCTTCGTTTTGTACCGATTTGAATGTCGTTATGTATTCTGTTGTTGTGTTTTCGGGCTTTGCTTGTTTCTCCACTGTGTTTTCGTTGTGTGTTGTGTTTTATTTTTGTTTCGTGTGGAATGTTTAAAGAAAATATGTTATTTACATATCTAAATATTGGCAGGTGTAAACTATAAGAGTACTTTAAGGAAAACTTTAAACTGAATAAAATGTTGAAGGAAACTAAGAAATTGTTTTAGCGTATACTTCAATTTGTGATGTAGAATGAGTGTTGGATGGATAGTGTAGATAGTGTTTTTTGTGTTCTTACCCTTGGGTTTTTTGTGTGGCTTTTGTTTGTGTTTGTTGGGTGAAACCTTTTCATCGTCGCATTTACTAATATCGATGATGTCAGCGATATCAGAGAGATTTTCATCGCTTACAACCCGTATCAACGAATAGGGCTCTTTGCCCTCTTCCTCGATGGTTTGTATCTGGAAATATTCCAGATCCTCTTCCTCTGGACCCTGTTTCTTAAACGTACGCGTTTTAGTCGTCTTCTTCTTTGGTTTCTTGTTGCTGTCAAGCTCTTCGGTAAAGGTTGTCTCCTCCGGCAATTCCTCAATCGGTATAGGGGTGAAGTCCTCCGCAGGCACAACCTCCACTTGCACTGTTGTCAAGGGTTCCTTGTCGTCTTCGACGACTGTCTGTACCGTTGTCACTTCGTCGAGTTTATCGTCGAGGTTCTTTTTGAAGGCTCTTGACTTGACGGTCTTCTTCTTTTTGGTTCCATCGTGAGAAGTGTATTCCAGTTCTGCCACTTGTTCCGGTAGTTCCAAAGACTTATTGTCCTCTGGCCTAGACTCGGTTATAGGCTGTTCGGTTACCGAAATCGAATAGATCGGCTCCGCATCATCTTGTTCAATGATATCAATCTGCGTAACCTCTTCTGTCTTGTCACTTGTTGGCTTTTTGATCACACGTTTCTTCGTTTTCACAATCTTCGGCGCACCTTCTTCGTCTACAGTTTCAGATTCCAGTACCTCATCGGGCAGAACCGTCACCTCGGAGAGCTTTTCCTCTGGAAGCTCAGGGAAGGGCAACTCAAAGTTCTCCACTGTCACCTTTGTCTTTGGCTCCTTCTCGTACTCCTCTACAGTTTGAATCTTAGTTACCTCCATGTTAGCGCCCTTGATCTTCTTGATGATACGTGTCTTCACAACTGTCTTTGTGGGAGTACCATCTTCTTTCTCTGAGAGAATAACAGATTTTCTTTCAGGTAACTCGACCACGGTTTCCTCATCTTCAGGCTTTTGCACAATGACTCTCTTCTTAAGCTTCACTTTGCCATCAAATGGAGTCTTCAGATCTGTTTCTTCCACCGTCACTGTTGTCTCTGGTTGCTTGTCATCCTCCTCTACGGTTTCGATCTTGGTAACTTCTTGTTTGTCACCCTTGACCTTCTTGATTACGCGAGTGCGGATCTTCTTCGTCTTGGGTTTGCCGTCTTCAGAGATGGATTCGACAACGCGAACCTCTTCTGGGAGTTCCTGGATGTCCTCAGGTTTCTCCTCTTCGTAAGGAACTTCTTCAACGGTGACAGTAGTTTCAGAAGGCTTGTCATCCTCCTCGACGGTTTCGATCTTGGTGACTTCTTGTTTGTCTCCCTTGACCTTCTTGATCACACGAGTGCGGATCTTCTTCTTCTTTGGTTTGCCGTCTTCAGAGATGGATTCAACAACGCGAACCTCTTCTGGGAGTTCCTGGATCTCCTCAGGTTTCTCCTCTTCGTAAGGAACTTCTTCAATGGTGACAGTAGTTTCAGAAGGCTTGTCATCCTCCTCGACGGTTTCGATCTTGGTGACTTCTTGTTTATCTCCCTTGACCTTCTTGATCACACGAGTGCGGATCTTCTTCGTCTTGGGTTTGCCGTCTTCAGAGATGGATTCAACAACGCGAACCTCTTCTGGCAGTTCCTGGATCTCCTCAGGTTTCTCCTCTTCGTAAGGAACTTCTTCAACGGTGACAGTAGTTTCAGAAGGCTTGTCATCCTCCTCGACGGTTTCGATCTTGGTGACTTCTTGTTTGTCTCCCTTGACCTTCTTGATCACACGAGTGCGGATCTTCTTCTTCTTTGGGTTGCCGTCTTCAGAGATGGATTCGACAACGCGAACCTCTTCTGGGAGTTCCTGGATCTCCTCAGGTTTCTCCTCCTGGTAAGGAACTTCTTCAACGGTGACAGTAGTTTCAGAAGGCTTGTCATCCTCCTCGACGGTTTCGATCTTGGTGACTTCTTGTTTGTCTCCCTTGACCTTCTTGATCACACGAGTGCGGATCTTCTTCTTCTTTGGTTTGCCGTCTTTAGAGATGGATTCGACAACGCGAACCTCTTCTGGGAGTTCCTGGATCTCCTCAGGTTTCTCTTCTTCGTAAGGAGCCTCTTCAACGGTGACTGTAGTCTCTGGTACCTTGTCATCCTCCTCGACGGTTTCGATCTTGGTGACTTCTTGTTTGTCTCCCTTGACCTTCTTGATCACACGAGTGCGGATCTTCTTCTTTTTTGGTTTGCCGTCTTCAGAGATGGATTCGACAACGCGAACCTCTTCTGGGAGTTCCTGGATCTCCTCAGGTTTCTCCTCCTGGTAAGGAACTTCTTCAACGGTGACAGTAGTTTCAGAAGGCTTGTCATCCTCCTCGACGGTTTCGATCTTGGTGACTTCTTGTTTATCTCCCTTGACCTTCTTGATTACGCGAGTGCGGATCTTCTTCTTCTTGGGTTTACCGTCTTCAGAGATGGATTCGACAACGCGAACCTCTTCTGGGAGTTCCTGGATCTCCTCAGGTTTCTCTTCTTCGTAAGGAACCTCTTCAACGGTGACTGTAGTCTCCGAAGGCTTGTCATCCTCCTCGACGGTTTCGATCTTGGTGACTTCTTGTTTGTCTCCCTTGACCTTCTTGATCACACGAGTGCGGATCTTCTTTTTCTTTGGTTTGCCGTCTTCAGAGATGGATTCGACAACGCAAACCTCTTCTGGGAGTTCCTGGATCTCCTCAGGTTTCTCTTCATCGTAAGGAACCTCTTCAACGGTGACTGTAGTTTCAGAAGGCTTGTCATCCTCCTCGACGGTTTCGATCTTGGTGACTTCTTGTTTGTCTCCCTTGACCTTCTTGATGACACGAGTGCGGATCTTCTTCTTCTTGGGTTTACCGTCTTCAGAGATGGATTCGACAACGCGAACCTCTTCTGGGAGTTCCTGGATCTCCTCAGGTTTCTCCTCTTCGTAAGGAGCCTCTTCAACGATGACTGTAGTCTCTGGTAACTTGTCATCCTCCTCGACGGTTTCGATCTTGGTGACTTCTTGTTTGTCTCCCTTGACCTTCTTGATCACACGAGTGCGGATCTTCTTCTTCTTTGGTTTGCCGTCTTCAGAGATGGATTCGATAACGCGAACCTCTTCTGGGAGTTCCTGGATCTCCTCAGGTTTCTCTTCTTCGTAAGGAACCTCTTCAACGGTGACTGTAGTCTCTGGTACCTTGTCATCCTCCTC